CCTACAAGGGAGGGTGATGATTCTATGTCCTCAGATCTCATCACTGAGAATTAAAGTGAATGAGTCAGTCAGATCACAGATGTTTATCAATTGTCTCCTATGTGACAAAAAGGGATAGAGTGATCAAAAGACAGACACAGTCCCAGCTCTAATCTAATGCAAAAGACCAACATGAAATAAATGACATTATTTGCGTTCACATTAACAGTCTAAGTAAGCTGGATGTTAGATGTTCCCATATTTGGAGCAAGGACCAACGATTCTTCCCATTCACCCTAAAGAAATCACTTGCCCCAAAGCATATATTTTACTTAAAAAGATAAGAGGGATTTTATCTCACAGGAAACACTATTTCACTCCAAACCTCCATACTCGTATCTTCTGAAGTTTCTCTTAGCCACATAGCCACAAGTTTCCTCTCTTTTAACTCTTCTCTGAACCTCTCTAGCTTCAATCCTCCACCTCCAGATCTTTCCTTGAGTCTCTTTCTCTTCTTTCTTAAGTAGAGCAAATTAGTTCTGTCTCAGCTCTTTCCAACTTGCAAAGCTACAATTAAAAACTGAATTAGCAGGCTGCCCGGTGGCGCAAGTGGTTAAGTACGTGCTCTGCTTCGGCGACCAGGGGTTCGCAGTTTCGGATCCTGGGCGCGCACCGACGTACTGCTTGTCTGGCCATACTGTGGCGGCGTCCCATTTAAAGTGGAGGAAGATGGGCACGGATGTTAGCTCGGGGCCAATCTTCCTCAGCGAAAAAAAAAAAAAAGGAGGATTGGCATCAGATATTAGCTCAGGGCCAATCTTCCTCACAAAAACAAAAAACAAAAACTGAATTAGCAAGCAAGACATTTCCTACCAATTACCAGGATTTTCTTTCATCAGAAGGCAGAAGAATATATAATAATTTTAATTTTCCTCACCTACCTATGCATCTCCACCCACTCCCCCCCAACCCAATGCACTGTCTTTACCTCTTTGCAAAATCTTCTCAATTGGTTTTGGAGCTCCCAATGGATATTTCATGTGTACTCACAAAGTGCTATCAGTCACTAGGTGATATCCTCCATCTTCTTGTTTTTCTATTTTAGCCCCCTATGGTATTTTCATCTGTTGTGAGTACCTTTGATGCCTACATAGTTGAGTGAAGGGGTCTTAGCTCTGCCTGCAGGGACTACAGCCAACTGTCCTCCTTTTAGACATAGCTGCCACTGCCATAGCCCTGCTGATATTCTTGATCCTTAAAAGTGCCAGAGAAGAGCCATAGAGTATGGTGCACTTAGAATATAGAATATATGGTGTTTTTGAGAAATAAACTCTATTTTATATTGTCTAATTTTATTTTAGAGCATGTGCAATACTCAAGATATGTAACAGGTGATATGGCACAGGACTAACCATTCAGAATGGATCCAAAGTATAACCTGAACAATCATATTGGATGTTCTTTAGGAGATGGAACAACCATACTGGTGCATCCTAGCTTAATATTAGCTTTGTTTTGGAAGATCATGAACATGGCCAACATGAATCCATGAAGGCCATGGGTAGGAGGAGGAGGAGACCGATCTTCGGTATAGATGCCATGCTGTTCCTGTCCCCGAAATTTAAGAAAAGTTTTCTCCCTGTTTCCTAATACTGAGGTATTGTTGGAGGCATTAAAGCTCAGTGGGATATGAATGTGGGCCCCAGAGTTGGATGGATTGAGGATCAAATTGCTTCTCTGCCACATAAGAGATCATAGATCTCGGGCAATTAACTTCTATGTGCTGCAATTTTCTCATCTGCAAAATAGGAATAATAATACATAATTATGGGAGTGCTATAAATGTTAAATGAGAAATTAATGTTACGTGTTAAAAACGTTATGCCTTTTTATTGTACCGTGTTCTTGTGTCTGATTCTCTAGGATAAGTTTGGCTTCATCCCGATTCTAGGTAAACTCACCCCAAATGCAACAGATGTAGCCAGTCGTGTAGTAGTCAGGTACTAAGTAATTAATTAGCTCGTTCACTCATTTATTTATTCTTTCATTGCTTCAACCAAAGTGCATGGTAAGTGCTGGGGAATCAACAATGAAACAGAGGAGATCATTTTATGAGCTCACAACTAGAGGGGGAGATAGACCAAAAAAGAAATGGTTAGAAAGCAGTGTGAAAAGTGCTGTTTTGGAGATATGAAGAGAAGGTTATTGGAATACACTAGAAAGAGCCACTTACTAGGCCTAGAGAAATTAGGAAAGCTTCATAAAAGAAGTAACAAAAACTAGTTCTTAGAACAGATTTAGGGCCATCAAGTTCCCATACAAATGGTGTTTCCTGTCCCGCTGGAAATTTCTGGATGAGCCTAACGTTTACCAGGACTATTATAGATATGAGGTCAGAATCTTAAAGCATACGCCTCCCTATTCCAGAGTTCTGACAATGCAAATAAAATACAAAGATACAAAGCTTTCAAGATCAAGCTACCTCAGTATTCAGTTGAATAGTATTATTTAGTTCATTAGAACATTTTTTTTTTTTTTTTACCTTTTTTGGAGGTGTGGTAGGGATTTTTTTGAAATGTGGTCTGTTCTTCGTAATACTTCCGAAATGCTAAAGTCTCCTAAACTGCACTATTTCTGAATAATCAGCAACAACAACCAACAGTATTGCTATTGGTTAGGTCTGGGTCTCTGAAAGCACGTGGTCTTTAGCGTGTCATTAGGATCTTCAATGCACCCAGTATCTCCTCAGCGGGAGTCCCAAAACACATGAGTTCATTCTGCACATCTCTGTGTTTTCTGGTTGCTTACAATTGATCTTGAGACATTTTTTCCAGATTGACATTAATACTTCCAGTGTCGTGGTTTTTTTGTTTCTTTGTTTTTCTGGAAAAGAAATAAATCAATCTCTCTCTCACTATCTCTCTGTCCCTTCTCCCTTTTTTACTTGCATTTCAGGCTGCCTTTTCTTAGTTGTCTGCTTTTCCCTCAGGAAATTGTGCATTCCTTCTTTTCGTTTGTTCAGATTGGAAAGTTTACGTGAACAAGTAGATACACATAGACATACACACACATAGAGACACACACGCAGAGGAACAGATTTTTAGTAATCTTGGCTGTTAAAAAAAACAGGAGCACTTTAATAGAGACTTCCTTAGTCACTCGTGTGTCTTCTGCTGATTTTCTGCTGTATTTAGCTATTAACAAAGCACTAATAGGTGTTGGTTTTGGACTCTCTTCTTTCCAGTGATAATTTTCAAAGCAAGCAATGTTGGAAAGTTCTTAGACAACCTGTGCTTTGCCAGTCCACTTTGTCCTCGTGGGCCCTTAAAAACTTGATTACATGGGTTACCTGTCACTTTTGCTTGTTTGTTGTTTGGGCACAGAGAAAGGATTAAATCACTTTGGCGGTATAAACTGGCTTTTAATCAGTTCTTTTTCTTCTAAGTGCCATACTTAACCTGCTTTAGGACTGTGAATCAGTGCAGGTGGATTGGAAGCCTTTTGGCTGGCTTGGAGGTTAGAAGCATAGGCTTGGAATCAGTTCACAGAGTTCACATACTGGCACCATCACTTGCTGGCTATGTGAGTGGTGACCCATTAGCCTTTCTGCGACTCAGTTTTCCTATCAATAAAATAGAGTTAAACATAATATCTATGTCTTAGGTTTGTTAGGATAATTATATGAGATTGTATGTAAGGAGTGCTTAGCACAGGCCTGGAAAATAGTAAGCTGTTAATAAATGTCATTATTATTATTGCACAGGAGTGACATATCAGCCAACAGGGAGACATGCAACATTAAGAGGAGGCTGCAAAGATGATTCAAAGACTTTATTGCTATGTTAGGTATTACTTCCTTCCATATCTGTCAGATCAGCAATTTGTTATTTGATGTGGAAAGGACTGATAAATCTGGCACAATTTTTCCCCCCAAGTAAATCACATTCTTTCTAGAATTTGTTTTGCTCTCTCCTCTAACTTCTCCCTACAGGCCAATCTCTAACCTCTACTGCCCTTCACGCACTGCCCTGCCCCCCCATTCCAGGACATGAGCGTCAACATCTGTGGCTTCTGTTTTTCTACCACCACTGCGGTTGAGAAGCTCCATTCCTGAAAATCCCTCCCAGCTCTTGATGAAAGCCCCTGCTCATAATTCATGTTTTCTGCACAGGCTCAGTAAAGGTCTCAGTGCCCTAACCTCAATTCTATAATTATCACCTGTTCTTTATGTTTTACTGATCCCTTTGTTCAAATGTTTACACCCTACATTGGGGAAATTACTCTCTGATAATTTTTGTTTCTTAATAGAAACACAGTGATTTCTCCCAGACAGCTCTTTGCTGGCCCATTGACACACCTGATGTATGTTTGTTCTCAGATAGTTTTTCTATGCAGCCACAAGAGAATTTATGTGGAACTTCCATTCCAGTCTTAAAGATAGCCATAACAACACCAAAGAGGTCCTTGTGAAACATATGATTAGGATGTATCACAGGAATTAATAATTCTTAGGACACTGTCTTAAATTGTAACCACACTTCTTTTGTAAGGAAGTTACTCAATTTATGTACACAGAATACACAGGGCTGCATTCTAACCAGGGAAATAGTTTCATTTAAAATCCACATCTCAGAAAGCACTTAGATTATTTTACTTAATATGCACGTGCTTTATTCCTTTGAGTGACAAGTTATGAAAGTTTTTTGCTAATTTGACCCTCCCTGATAATTTTCTCCAACTCCTAAAGTCTAAGTGAATACAATGAAAGAATACCATCTCTAAAAATAGTTTTTAATATATTTTCTCCAGAGTCAAGAATAAATTTAAAAAAAAATTAATAATTATACAGAATTATCATTCACTATCAAAAATAATTTCACTGGACACTGTGCCAATTTTCTTCTTAGAGTTTCCCAATTAAATAGTAACTTGTTAAAAACATACTACTAGTTTGCTAGATTTTAGTAGGTCAGCATACACAGCAAAAGTATATTAAGGTGGACTGCTCTATTTATTGATTCCCCGTGAATCTGCTATAGGCTCCAGGCAATTGTCTGTGGAAGGGGCGGGAGGGCCATACATGATTGAGGTCATGCGCATCTAGCCAATTTGTAAGACGATCCTGCCGCTCCAAGCCATCAGCAATCCTTAGCATAGGGGCACACTCATGCATTCCTGTCAAGTCATCTTGTGAAAGGCTGCCTGCTTCCAGCTTGGCTTGGATGTGCAACCTTAATAAAACTCACTGAGGTCTGGGAGAAAATAGCAGATCTGCAGCAGATAGAGTAGAGGAAAGGGTCTAGAATATGTACACGCAGCTGACTCAGGCAGGCTCCACGCTGAACTGTTACACAGAGAGGAAACAATAAATCTCAGCTACTATGCAATAAATATCTCAAGTTTTAACTAAGGAAACTATCATTACAGTGAAATAAAAAATAACATTTTAGAACAAAGCTAACAAATGGCTAGTTTTCTGTGATTCTTCTTCAAAAGCTTTCTTTGAGGGGGAAAAAGTCAAACAAACAAGCAGTTTTACCTGAAATAAAGAACTAGTTTAAAGGTCAGAAGAAAGGAGCAAGTTTTGCGAGAGGCACGGAAAGAGAGTGCTGGCAGTACAATGACAGTTTTCCTTTCCTTTGCTTTCCTCGCTGCCATTCTGACTCACTTAGGGTGCAGCAACCAGCGCCGAAGTCCAGAAAACGGTGGGAGAAGATATAACCGGATTCAACACGGGCAATGTGCCTATACTTTCATTCTTCCAGAACACGACGGGAACTGTCGTGAGAGTACGACAGACCAGTACAACACAAACGCTCTGCAGAGAGATGCTCCACACGTGGAACCGGATTTCTCTTCCCAGAAACTTCAACATCTGGAGCATGTGATGGAAAATTATACTCAGTGGCTGCAAAAAGTAAGTGATTGCTTTCAGTTTCTCATTGCATGGAGCCTTTTCCGTTCTTGCACTGCAGCTAACTTAGAGTTCCTTAGGGGGCATTTGTGTGTTTACCTTTTGCTCCAGGGGGGCAGTGTTTGCAAATGCAAGACTCCTCACTCCTTGTGACTTCAAGAGTGAGCCAAAGTTTTTAGGCTTGTTCAAGCCTATGAAGGTATGGTGACACCCCATTTGTGTGTCTAGCAATGGCACATTTTATGACATTTCTGGTTTTGTCTTATTTAAAATTTAGCTGGAGTTTTCTAACTGTCAAAAACCAACTTTTTTTTTTTTAAAGAAAGCATGTATGTCTTGAGCAAGTTGGTGAAAATAAATAATAATGACAATGCTAATTTAGGATCAAATAGATTTTATACCAGTGAATTTTGTACAGATAAGATGGGAAATCATCACCAAATATCTGTTTTTTCAGCCTCTCGTAAAGTTAACATGAAATGAGAGTAAATATGAAGTATGATATTTGGTTGGAGACATTGTACAAGCATGTAAAGGAAACAATTTCAGCAAGTAGTAGAATAGTAGAGGACTGATTTCTGTCAAATATTTCTTCTATCCTTGAGAAAAAAATCAGGAAGGTAAATTTTAATGTGAACTCACCATGAAGAGGTTGTTTGCCCACTATGAAAGGAGAAATTGAGCCAGTAGTGGCTGTCCTGAAGACGTGCACCTGCAGATTTGGGCTGAACACAAGGTGTAGGCTTTGCTATATGCCTGAATTACCTCTTTTCTCAGAACATTGTAGTGACAGTGCCATGTGGGAGTATGAGGATTCAGATGAATGTTAATGTTGAGTATGCATTTAATCCCAATTTATAGAAATCAAATTGAACATTTTATTCAGTTATATCCCTATAAACCATTTGAATGTTTTTGTTGAAAATATGCCTATTAAAATATGAACAAGTCACATTTTCCGCAGTTCATTCTCTTTGCTGTCTGTGTTGTGTAACAGGTAAGCAGCAGATAACAAGTGTATTCAACTATGTCACTAGAAGCGTGCCAATGTCCCTATTTGTGAAAAGCTTCTCCCCAGGGATCTTTGCTAAAAATTCACTTGGTGCGTATAGGTAGGAACGGAACCAGTCCAGTTTCCTTCAAGTTAGTCTCTTAACAGAGCAAACCCTTTAAGAAGATAAAAGATAGGGAAGGGACAAATGTGCTTTTTTGTTCCTGTGTGGTCACGCTCACTTAGATCACTGCCTGCTGAATCATGCCAAGCAATGGTTATTCTACTTTTGTCCACTAGGGACTGAACTAAGATCACTGTTATTTTATTTGACAAGTTAACTGAAACTCAGTAGTTTTAGTTTCCAAACCTGAATTGTAGCTAATCTTTCTATTGTAGACTAAAATAGGTGAAAAAACCAATAGATAGGTAGAAAAATAGAAAGCGAACAGCATTCTGCACTCTTGATAATTGCAGCTTAAATTTCAGGCACTAATTACAGCAGCAGTTTATAATAGGATATCTGTTTTTTCTTTGGTAAAACTTATTTCCATAGTAAACAAATCAATCTGGTTGAATCACTTATTACTATTCTCAATATACTAGCCATCTAGTATTTAATGAGAATTCAATCATCATAAACTAGTCTGGATTCTTTGAGGGGGGTGGGGAGGGAAATTTCATCCCAAGTTCTCTGAATGAGCTGTTCTACCAAAAACGTAATATTTTGTTTGCTTAAGACATGCAATCAAAATAGTGATTCAAGCATAGTAATGCATATTTTTTTGTTGCTATGCAATTATGCAGCAGTGACTGGGTAAATATATGATTCTACTGGGCTTAAATCATGCACATGTTTCATATGTTAATTATTGTGTGAAATAAATTTGAGTTTTGTTTACATTGGTCTTCGTCAATGATTATGGCATAGTTTTTAGGTTATAGTCAAGCATAACTATGAAAATGTTCTTTGGTTACGTTGACCCTTGCTGGTGTGAATCAAGCTGAATATATGCTGAAAATGTCCCTGTTGGTATGAGTCAGAGCAGTTTGGCTTGACTATTGTCTCTTTAAATTTGCATATCTTTTGTCCTTGTTAATGCGATTGGTTGGAGGATCAAGAAACCAAATAAATGCCTTCAGCAAAGAACTTGCTAAAGGGTCTCATAAGTTTCCCTTAATTAGAGGTTTTCTTCACTTCAAGTTCTAAATTTCATGTAATGTATTTATTTTGATAATTCAAATGGAAATCTTTTTACTGTAACCATTTAGTATGCTTAATACTCCAATTTGTACTACTTCTATTTTGATTCCAAGTATTTATTAGGATAAGAAGCAAGGCTCTGCAGAAACTGAGGCTATCAGTGTAAGTGCAATTAATTCATCCATTTATTCAACCAAATAATTAATCAAAGCACAGTGATTATTATGCAGCTCATGGCATCACTATCAGGAAAGTTTTTGATGCGGATTGTGTGTTATCAATGCTAGATGCAGCTAGATGATAATTTATGTTAATCTGTTACCTTCCTTGAAGTTTGGAAAATTGGATTCTTTTAAATATTCTTTATAAGACACTGGCTGTCATTGAAAGTCACTTATGAGACTTACACTCTCAAATCTCATTCCTCAATTTTTGTGGTCTTGGAACTAAACAAGATGAGATGCAAGGTATGCAAGAGGCAAAGGCTGTGTTTGTCACCATAAGTGCTGAAACTGTTATGGCACTGGTCTCTTGATGTGATGGATTTAATTCAAGGAGATCAACTTTCCATGATAACGTGTCGATTAACACCAATATGGGGTAGGTTGATAGCATTATCCTCACTTGTCAGATGGGGAAGAGCAATATAAATAATATGCTCAAAATCACAATTTTATTGGGTGAAACACCTGGGTTGTATGTCTGGGTTTGACTCTCTTTTATCATATAGCTCTTTTCAGAATTATTAGCAAATCATGCCCAATATCTGAGTGACCAGATTTTGGGATAGTAATAATAAGTACAAATGGCCTTTGTGTCTTTGCCACTTTCTGATGATTCCTTCCTAGCTTTCTATGACAGAGAAATGTCCAATGTTTACCGTGTACTCCACATCCTGTGCTTCTTGAATTATTATTTTCTTTCTCCCATATTCTGAAAGTTCATAAATATGTATATTTAAAATATATAATGTTTTAGAATTTGGGGGAATGTCTAAAAAGTCTGTTTTGCCTTTGCCAAATGATGTCTCTTTTTTTGGTTGAAAATATAAATAAATTCAGTCAAAAACATGCCTTGTAACCCAAATCAAGGGTCTATCTATTAACATATATATTTCACATTATAAATATTTCACACTAGATAAAATTCATGAATTGATGATTATTAGTAGAAAATGTAGTTATGAATTATCATCCAGAATATTTTAATAATTGAAAAGCTTTTACTGGAATGCTTGGCTAAATTTTTCTATTGACAGCATTTTTTGACTAACAACATCCTGTACTTGTATTGTATTCTTTGCTTCAGAGAATTAGGATTTAGCATGCTATTACCTGAAACATATTAATGATGATGATAGTCTTTTTAAAACCCATATATTACACATATTAACCCATATTAATATCCCCTGGAATGTGACCTCTATGATGCCAGTGACCTTGTATGTTTGTCCACTGCCGTATCCCCAGGACCTAGAGCAGTATATGGTCTGTAGCAGATAGACAATAAGTATTTGTTGAATGAACAAATGGATGTATTGTCTATGTGTTGCAATCTACACTTTACTATGTACTAGTAACATTTTGTTTTGGATATACACCTTACCTCCCTAACTAGATTGTAAGTTGTCGTTTAGGCAAGGACTATGTGGAGGAGGAAAAATAATTTTCCCTCTACCGTTCTAGGTTCATGGCTGAGACCCATCTGTAATAAAAGACAGATTAACAGGAGAAAAACAAACAGAAGTTTAATAACATGTATACCTCCTGTATACATGGGAGATACCCAGGAAAACTGAGTAACTCCCCGAAATGGCCCAAGCCATCACCTTATATACCTTCTCCAGCTAAAGACAAAAGAAGATGTTGGGTTGGGGGAGAGAGCTAGGTTTTCAGGCAAAGTACAGGAAACAAGGGTATGGTTGTTATACAGATTTAAGACCATGCGGATTATCCATTGACAGAGTTTCTACAGATTTAGTTGTCATCCTCTTCTGGTACAGAGAGGGAGATAGCACCCTTACAAATGGAGATTTCCCTTGTAAATGTAAATTTCTCTTACAAAAGGTAAACTTCTTTTACTTTCAGAGCTTGTCTTATGTCTGCTGCTTCTTAAAAATAATCAGCCTAAAATAATCCTTATGCCAAAAGGGCATATTTTGGGATGACATATTTTGTTCACCTTCAGCTACATCCTACAATTATTTTTGTCCTAGTATTAATTAAAATGATATTGGGTCTAGAGTAGGTGGTTATTAATTATCCAAATTGTATTTAGTCAATGATCTAGGATCTCAAAAACTTCTGGTCACTCCATTTTGTCCTCTTGATTATTCTTTAAGAATCAACTTTGTTGACGTACCCCAACTCCACCTCCCCTCCCAGGCTGAGTTCTCTAATGTTATCATAGTACACTGCATGTATCACGCTACCACTGCACTTCCATCTTGTGTGGTTGTTGTCATTTTCATTATTTGTTTTGAGGCCTGTTTTCCTACTTAGCCTGTGAGTCCCTCGAGTGTAGTGAGTGTCTCTTTATCCATCTATATATCTCCGAAGATGTTTATTAAGTGTCTGAACAATATCTCTCTTATCATTGTAATATAAAAATAAAAAACATCAAGTGCTCAAGTGTATGATGCTGGGTATAAAATAATGCAAGTTAAGGGACCTTGTAACTGCTTTCAAATGCTAAGGTTTGTTTAAATCCTTAGTGTTAGATTACTTGAGGGTCAGTTAGATCTTCCTTTGGGAGGAAAAAGAATTTTGTACTTCCAGACCAGTAGGCAACCATTTGTGCATACAATAA